ATTAAGGATTCGTTAAAAATGCATGCACACTACTATAATTTAATCTGTAGACCTGCAGTGCCGTCATCCCCAATGTTTAAAAACGTCCAATCATGTCACAACATGATAAAAACTGATTAATATATTAATAATTTCTCCAGTAATGGCAGCAGTAATGTGATAGCTGGGCTAAGTTACCAGCTGTGCTAACTGAACGCCCAGATGTTACACTTGAATAACAACTTTGAACGCACAATTTCTAACACACGACTCCACGTAACGTGATGAAGAAACACAAAATTTATTAAAAATGCAGTTAACGCCGTGATCTCATCACAAAAAGAGGGGAAAAGCCCTTACTTACTTGATTCAAGGTCGACGCTCATCAGGTGAACTGGCATTGAACCGAGTCTCATTGATGACGTCATCGTCGTTACAGTTGGTGCGTGGTATATGGACGCATCTGTTCTCCAAAGAAATGAATGGGAAGGATTGGCGTATCATATGCACGCAAAAACGGATTTTGGCGTATGTATTGCACGCAAAGGGCAGGTGGAAAGTCGTGTTATTTGTACACAAAGTTATGAGATCGGGTCGGTTTACCTTATGAGCTGTTGCAGAAGATTGCTTTGAATCCACTCTCCTGCTTCCTCACTTTGATTCAGTGACTTGTTTTGAATAAAACCGATAAGAGAAACTTCCTTGTCTACCAGCATGACACATAGGGCCCCAGGTTTTTAAAAGAAGTAATAACATTAAATCTTAATGGTTATAGATGTATTCACAACATGTGATAGTAAATTTATTTAAAAAAAAAAAAAAGCTATATGGTTTAATAGGCTTTTTGGCTTTGGTCGTGGCCCTCTACTTCTCCGGGGCCCTAAGTGGCTGCTTACCTCGCTTATTGGTTAAGTCTGCCCCTGACAGAGAGTCAGGACCTCGGTTTAACGTCTTATCTGAATGATGACACTCACTAATATTATATAGTATGGAGTCCTCATCAATATACTGAGATATTAGGACTCACACAGACTGCAGGTTGAGCTTTCCCTGCTGGTCTCTCTAACCCACTTTCATTATCATTATTTTTCCTTTTTTAAATATTTCCCAAATGATGTTTAACAGAACAAGGATATTTTCACAGTACGTCTGATATTTTTTCTTCAGGAGAAAGTCTTATTTGATTTATTTTGGCAAGAATAAAATCAGTTTTTAATTTTTTTTTAATTATAGTCTACAAAACAAACCATAATTATACAATGACTTGCCTAATTACCCCTGCCTAGTTAACTTAATTAATCTAGTTAGTTATCCTTTAAATGTCACTTTAAGCTGTTTAGAAGTGTCTTTAAAAATTTCTAGTAAAATATTATGTACTGTCATCATGGCAAAGATAAAATAAATCAGTTATTAGAATGAGTTATTAAAACTATTATGTTTAGAAATGTATTGAGAAAATCTCTCCATTAAATAGAAATTGAGGAATAAAAGAAATGAGGGGCTGATAATCCAGGGGGGCTAATAATTCTGACTTCAACATGTATATAATCTAGAGTATATGCCTATATCATTCTTTTTTTTACAATTATTTACAAAAAACACCCACTAAAATGTAATAGTGTAACAATAGTTTATATACCAAAAACAAAAAATTCTTAACATAAGAAAAGCCATTAGATTCAATATGAATAAACTCCCAGTCCAATAAAATCACATACTCTTTAATTTAATAAGTATAAGACTGAATGGAGTATTATTATTGCTAAATGTTTGTATTATTTTGCTTCATATGTATACTTTATATATACATAATTTCTGCTTAATATGTATAATTTCATTAATTATTTTATTACATTTTGGGCCTCATCGTTTTACAATAGTTAATGTCTCAAATAACAATAATCAGTACATTAGTTACAGTTATAAAGCTGTGCTAATATTAATTTAAATTTTTTTTTACATTTTCAACTTTTAATTGAATAAGTTTGGTGTATTTAATTAATTTATTGATATTAAGATTAATAAATGCTATGAAAGTATTTTTCATTGTTAATTCACGTAATTCATCTAATGTAAGTAACTAATGTTAACATGAGGAACCTTATCATAAATTGTACATTTTGTATTATTCATTCATTCTTTTTTTTGGCGTCCTTCCAGTTGCAACCCAACACTGGGAAACACCCATACACTATTGCGCACACACTCACATACTATGGCCAATTCAGTTTATTCAATTCACCTGTACCGCATGTCTTTTGACAAGGGGAAACTAGAGCACCCTGAAGAAACCCGCAAACACAGGGAGAACATGCATTTTGTATTGGTTTTTATTTATTTTTGCCTTGCACAAGAGATGCTTGTCTCTTATGTTTATATTTACTGACAAAATGTTCACAAATCTTGTGTCTATCAAAGTCCTTTGCTAAATAAATCACAGATTAAACACAATTAATTCCAATTAACAATGCAACGTTCACATAGTTTAAAGTTTTGCTTCATGATTATTGATCCCAAATCTTCTTTTTAAAACTGTAATTGTTATTTCTGACCTACACCTACATTGCAGACAGACTTGTCTTCACTGCACAACTTGCGTCACGAGTGACCTAAAAATGAGCAGTTTATGTCCATCATCCATACTAATATCCTAGAACCCATTATCACTGTAATTTACTTAAGCCTTTATATGACTGATCAATTGAACAGGTAATCACTGAGTAATGACAGAGATGTTTCACGTTTTCTTTAAACTAATAATGTGATAAGTAGAGTAAGACACGTTGGTACTTGCTGCAGGTGACCTGAAGACACGTTCGTTGTGTGTGTGGTCCAATGTTTATGAAAAAAATAATAATAAAAATAATAAAATAAATTTGATGTGATTTGAGAAGGAAATTGTTGAAATGTGATCATTAACCAGCAGGATTAACAGTTTAATACTTTAATGTCTAGTTGAGCCTGAGAGATATGAGAATAATCCTCAACATTATTATGAAGAAAGGCCCAATTGGATAAGAAGGGATAGTTTACCCCCCAAAACATTAACGACTTCATTTTTTACTCTCCCTCATGTGGTTATAAATCTTTATGACTTACTTCTGCTTAAAACAAAAAAAGCTGATATCCTAAAAATACAACAAACAACTTTAAATAAATACTATGGAAGTCAACGGTGTCCATGTATTTTTCAAAATATCTTCTTTTGTTTTCAATAGAAGAAAGAGCTCAAATATGCTTTGAAAAAGTGAAGGGTGAAAAAATGATTTTCGATGATGTTTTCCTTTTGGATGAACTATATAAAAGAAACACCATTTCAAAATAGGCTCATTATACAACTCGCATGTCAAACAGTTGAGTTTTACACATTTTTAATCCGTTCAGACAATGTTCTGGCACAGGAAAATTATTTTCTAGGCCGATACGTCTATAGGAACTATACTCTCATTCCAGCTAATAATCTGCTGCAGCCATGGTACAGCAACAAAGGTCCTTGATTATTACTCCAGAAAGTGAGTATACAGTATTTCCTATCCATATCAGCCTAGAAAATGGTAACTTTTCATTTTCCACTGGTCTATACATGTAACTCACAGGAAAGCAAAGCATTAAATAGGAAAATTATCAAAACTCTTTGGTCATTTTTGTGAAATATGCTAATGGTCTAATCTGGCTCATGGTCTATGCTAAGCTACGCTAAAAGTTCCACCATCAAACATGAATATCAATGGATAAAAAAATGCTAAAACAACTATTTAACTCTAGAGGACTTGTAATATGAACAAAGACGTAGAGTCTCCAGTTAAGTATTATTAAGACAGTTAAGTCAGTTAATAGATTTCAGCACATATATAAATATGGCATCTGCAAACAAATTATGCTTTACAAAATCTATGCATTGATGAATTTCAAATATCTAGTCTCAAACTAGATATTTACTGAATTTACTTCAGTAAATTGCCAAATATTTTCAAGTAATTTGATTCTCTTACCCTGTGGTCATCCAAGTAAGTGTTTTTTTATTTTTCAGTGGAATATTAGAAATTTTTTTTAGCTGAAACTGTGGCCCTAGTACAGTCGCAAAAATGCAATCTGTCACTACTGGAACAATGAGTGTAAAACTAAAACATACTAAATTCTAAAGCAAACTAAATACTTATGGCTCCTGATGATATCCTGGTGATAAATTGAGGTCTTATATATTTTATTAAGTAAAACCGTTTAACTAAAAGATTTTACTACATCTCCATTTAGATTTATATACAGTATGGGCATCATCAAATCCACATGACCTCAGCTGACAAATAAGGCCTTATGTCCAAATACTTCTACCTGCATAATACAGTGCTCAGCTTTATTGAGTACAGCCCTTTTTGAAAATGAATATTTTTATCCATTTCTCAGTGAATATGGCAATGTATTTTAGAGCATTTAAACAAAACAGATTTATTAAACAGATATATTTATTAAAATAATATTTTAGTCACCAAACATATTTAGAAATTAATAGATAATACAATTTAATTTAAGCTAAATATTGCAACAATAAAAACAACCTACAAATTTTCAACTACGTTCTTTATTTTATCTTATTATTTTTGCTTCACTTGATTTTCCCTCTTTTTTTAAAATTTGTATTTAATATTTTTTTATAACATAAATTTGCGGGTACTAGTTTTTTGGACCGTTATGATAAGTTATTTTATTAGACAAGCTTCAAATTTTGCTTCAGTACTAACTATTCTAATGTATATGCACAAATAAAATATCATATAGCTTCCAATTAAAATGAATTTAAAAGAGAGATTTGTGAGGGGTGTACTTATTTATGCTGAGCACTGTATGTGTTTAAGTTTTAAAAACTAAATGTAATATAGTACCTACTATTTAGTATGTTATACTCTGTAACGTGCACACTAGGAAATTAAGCTTTCGTTTCTAATATTAAAGCTTGAAACCAAGCATGAAAGGCATTTATGGTTTAAAAAGCATGAGATCTTCATCTTAAAAAATAATACACATTTATAATTGGGTGAATAATTTATTCAAAGTGACATTTCATATCAGAGCGCGTGACAGATTAAAAGTCAACATGTTTGCAATATGTATTTGGTTCGTATTGAATAATAATGCAAAACACCCAAATATTAAATTTAAAAATTATACTATTTTTAAGTTACTGAAAAAAAAACAGAATTAGTTTCTCAAATGAACAAGCTTTCTTAAACTCTACATTTTTTACTATGTTTGGCCCCCAAATATATCTGCTGATAACAAAATTGTTTTCTGTTAAATAACAAGGACAAATGTAATGTAATACTTAATAAAATAATATATTAATATCTATCTACACAAGCTTAAAATTCAACACAAAATAAAACAAAAATAATTACTATGATCTATTTACTATTTTTTTACATTTAAAAACCACCTCCGCTGTTTCAGAATCACTAAATTTGTCCCAATCCCACTGAGCAATGTGTATCAAAAAATGTTCGAGAAACTAAAACTAAATAAAAACAGATATGTCCTGTTCTTCTACAGCAGGGGTCACCAAGGGTCGTCCGGTGCCCTCCAGGGTTTAGCTCCAACTTGCCTCAACACACCTGCCTGGTTGTTTCAAGTAAGACCTTGATTAGCTTGTTCAGGTGTGTTTGATTAGGGTTGAAGCTAAAATCTGCAGGACACCGGCCCTCCAGGAACAAGTTTGGTGATCCCTGCTCTACACTATTTCTATTATTCGGCTCTGATTTTTATTTCTCTAAAGTGCATCTCTGTACAACCCTATTTACATTCATACCTACTATATTAACAGAGTCAAACTAGACAGAAGTGCTGTGTTTCTCAGATTGGCTTGTAAAGCAGGGTTGTGACATATTTCTTCTTATAGCGATGGGTGGCGCTGAGAACCATGACGCCATCCTGTCAGAGAGCCAGAGATACAGGAAGTCATCAGAACAGGTTTTGGATCAACATGACTTCATCTGAGAGAGCTCTATAAGATGCTTCCTTACCTTAATGGACAGAGCGTACAGGTGATTGAGCATGACGTGATTAGGCTCTGGGAGCAAAGCTGGATCACACTGGTGGAAAACAAGAACGGCTGTCAATTAGCCTGAAATTAATTTGACTGACAAGTTTTTTTTTTTTACCTTAAATTAAAGTTATGGAAATGAACTGCTTAAGTTGTGTTCTTAATGTAGGAAGAAATTAAAGTTACTTAATCTACTACTCTTTTTTTTTTTTTTAAATATGAGTTATAATCTGGTTGTATGGGCTATTTTATTATAAAATGGGTCTAAAAAAATTTTGACATGGTCTGTGACTTTTTCACTTAATGTAAAGAAAGCAAAACACGAGCAAGAAAACCTATTTAAAAAGTGACTGAAACCAATGGCACTTGTCTGTGCTTTATGTACAAAATGTAATACAATTTTGACCCAGATAAACGTAGAATATATTTTAGAGCAATGTTCATAATATTTTGGATCCTTAAGGTTTAGATAGAGATACACTGAAATAAAAATTCTGGAATGAAACTGAACATTCTGAATGCACTTGGCTGAATCCAAAATCAAAAAATGCTTTGGAGTATTTACTGACTATTTTGTATATAAAGTAATTTTGTGAGACTCATTTTTACTCGAAAACTTTAATTATACTGGATTTGTAAAGAACATTCCAATAAAATAAACACATTTTGTTGACATTAAATATGGAGCTGCAGAACATACATTTCATAGCGCAGTGCTTTCCGCATCAGGTGTAAAAGCCAGCAGGAGGAAGAGTTTTTCTCTTTAAGATGGAAAATAGCATGATTTTCAGCCAATCTTTTTCAGCAGACAAAAATCCACTGCTTAGTTATAGACAGAGCTCTTGAATGCATCTGACTACAGTATTCATCAACATGATTATTAATTAGTTTACAAATAAAATAGTAATTTATTCCATTCACAAATACTTAAAATTAAACCAATGACATCCAACATTTTGCCGTAAATTTAATTTTAATGAATGAATCCTACAATTCCATCTGTATTTTCTATACTGAAGGTAACAGGTCAAATAAAATCAAAATATTAGAGAATTATAATAATAATGGTCACACTGACAACACTAATGCACAGCGTTTTTGTAGATACTCACAGAGATGCCTGTGTCCTTATTGAGGATGACCTGAAGGAGGTGAGGTGGCAGAATGGGTGGAGATTTGAACTTCTCCTCCTGTTTGGGTGTGTAAGCGTCCTGATGGTATGGGCCTGGAGGCGAGCTGGACAGATCTGAAATTATTTAAGACAACTCTTGATTGATCATGTTCAAAACCATTCCTGCATATCGATATGTTATAAAGCAAAATTGAGTTGATATTAGACTCATACCCGACATATCAGAGCATTTCTGGGAATCCACCATGAGTGCATCAAACACTTCAAAGTCTGTCTTCTTCACCTGGATGATGTTGTTGACCGTACCCAGCTGGTTGGTCACCACAGGCTGAGGAGAAGAAATGTTCAATGTTATGATGGTTTACTATGAGTATTGTTGGTAATGATGATGATTGAGGTCTCTGTCACCTCTGTTGGGTCGTGTGTCCACAGTCCATCCACGTAGAACTTATACTGGTGCTCACCCTCAGGTAAATCCACAATCGCCACAAAATTATTTTGACTATTAAAGAAAACAGAAGAAAATACGTGAGTCTAAGAAACTGGATTTGAGGTGTATCTTATGGCATGTATTGTACACACTGCACCTGTGCGTTGCTTAATTTTGTACAAACTAAAACTATAACAAAAAATATTGTCTTGTTTTCAGAAATAAGTAAAAAAAATAAGTGAGTTTTTTCCTAAAACAAGCAAAATAATCTCCCAATGGGGTAAGCAAAATTATCTAGTTCTTGCTTTGAAATTAGATTATTTTGCTTTGCCCATTGTTTTGAGGAAATTTTTTTTACAAAGTTTTGCTTGTCTAGAAAATGCTTCTTGATTTAAGAATAGAGATGTAACGATTCAGCATGAGCCGGTTACAAATCGATTCAAATATGTGACGATTCACATCCGTAGAAATTTTGAAGGAATCGCAATACATGTTTTGAATAGAGAGGGTGCTGTGTTTGGAGGCACAATCTCGGTTTACCTGCACATGAGTGGCGAGCAAAAGGTGGGGCGGCAGAGTAAAATGACGGTGGTGAAGTGCGCCTGACAAAATACAAACCTTGTGCAAATACTGCAAAAAGACATTTACTTACACTAACAGAACAAAGAATATGATGCACGGAAACCATCAGCACAGTGAAAAACTACTGTCACAGATATCTATATGCAAAAAACTATTAATAAGCCAAACCAAGCAGACTGTAGGATTTGCAGCTTACGCTTGCTCCGACGAGTGCTACAGAGATTACATAGTGCATCAGTGTTTTCATAGTATGAAAGTGTGAAGATGTTTTTCAGACTGAAAGAGTTGTTCTGTTACAGAAGCAGGTATTAGATTATTTTCCCCTTTCCTTTTCAAATTAGTTTATGCATAGTTTAATAATTTGCTTATTTGTATTAAATATTTAAAGATGTGCAAGATTATCTCTTAAGTGTATCACACTGATACTTATACTAATTTATTATGAGTTAGATTAGTTATTCACCTTTATAATCATGGTCAACTGCTGTCTCTATCCTATCATATAATTAGTCATTTTATAATCAGCTTTTTATGCCAGTGGCCTGTCTCCTGGATCAGAGGGGGATCTATTGACCATCTCTGTACACACTGCTCTCTGGTTTAGGAAAGGCTTTCCTCTCCACACCATCCATCTCAGTCCCAGATGAAAGAATCTTCTTATCAGCATTGTTAATGTGACCAGTATTGTAAAAAAAGACCTCACCTTGTGTCAAAAAACATAGATTCTTTTTAACATTCTTTTTAAAAATGTAAAACCCCAGCACAATTTTACTTTATTTATATTAATGAGTCTTTTTTATTTTGTATTATTCATTTTTGGAAAGGAGAATTTATTTATGTTAAAAATAGCAATTTAGTTATGGCAGCAAATGTATTATTTTGCAAAAAATATGCAGAATTTAAGAAAAGAATGAAAGGGCTCTTTACCTTAAATTCTTTTAAACAGTTTTGTTTAAAAATCGTGACTAAATCGTGAATCATGAGATTAGTATTGTGAATCACATCATATCGTGAGTCAGCTGAATTGTTACATCCCTATTTAAGAATCTTGAGATATCTGGACTAGAAACAAGACAAAGAATGAAAACCATTTTTGCAGTGTACTGGATAAAATGCGTTGATTGATGTTGCCAGATCTTATTAGAAAAAAATTAAACAGTAAAAATAACAAAGCTTTAAGTGCTTTTTCTTAGAAATAGGCCAACACAAACTATCACAACCATAAACATACCAATAAAATATGATTACAGTTATGCATTTACATAAAACACAAGTTTGTTTTGTTTGCAAACTACTCATGATTTTTCTTGTCAATTTAAAATAAAATGTCCGTAGAGGATAAAATGACAATTGGTCAAAATAACAAAACAAAAAAAATACACCAAAATACATTGCCTATTTGTTTCATTTCAGGTAGTAATATTAGTGTATTGACTTCCTTTAGGCAGCATTTTAAATTTTTTTATCATAATTTTTCATTCATTTATTTTCTTGTCGGCTTAGTCCCTTTATTAATCCGGGGTCGCCACAGCGTAACCCAACTTATCCAACAAGTTTTTACGAAGCGGATGCCCTTCCAGACGCAACCCATCTCTGGGAAACATCCACACACAGGTACGAACCAGCGACCCAGCGACCTTCTTGCTGTGAGGCGACAGCACTACCTACTTGCCACTGCCTCGCCCTATCATAATTTTATTTTACCTAAATATTTACATAATTAATATATACATTTTTACTTTATTTATAGTACATTGTGAAGTGTAGAGCGTTTCATACACATCTACAGTTGAAATCAGAATTATTAGCCCCCCTGAATTATTTGTTTTAATAACTCATTTCTAATACCTGATTTTTTTTTATCTGTGCCATTATGACAGTACATAATATTTGACTAGATATTTTTCAAGATGCTTCTATACAGCTTAAAGTGACATTTAAAGGCTTAACTAGGTTAATTAGTTTAACTAAGAAGGTTAGGGTAATTAGGCAAGTTATTGTATAATGATGAAAAAAAAATTAAAGATAAAAAAAAAATTAAATCAAAGGATTTTATCAAAATAATTCTGACTTCAACTGTACATCAAGTTGTGAGTGGACACAACTAAGATCTGTGGAAATTTATGACATAAACACTAAGGAATTAAACACTAACTATAAAATTGTCATAAATTTAAATAGACAATTATGAAAAAATCAGATTTTTCATTTAACATTAATATTTTCTTCATTTCAATTAGCAGAATTATAAACCATTAACATTCACGTACCTTCTAATCAGAGGAATCTTATTGGTCCAATTATTGAAAGACCCAGAAATATACACTTCCTTTCCAGCTCCTGTCCAGCGAAACACAGTGGGTCGATCTAAAGTGTCAGTCTTTTCGCTGCCTTCCAGGTCGGGTCTCCATTCAATGAATTCCTCCTTTTCCAACGGTGCCTAATAGAAACAAAACACATGATCACCACATCAAAACCACAATTAAATCTCTTTACAAGCAAACCAATAAATCACATCCATCAGACACCTTCAAGTCCTCCCCATGAAAAATATCAGCATCTTCGGGACTGTCCATTAGGATTTTTGGACGATCTCCTTCTTTAGTTCCTCGACTGTCCCTTCGGTTGGCCTTTTCCTGGCCCATGCCTGTCCTCTCACTGCTTGTGTTCCCCATAGTGATCTAAACAAGAGGTCACACAGGGCGAGCGGCCCACTGGATGGGCTTCAAATGATCTGTAACCAAAAATCAGACATCACAATAGTGTAAAAGACATGACTGTCTTCATTTATTCTTTCTTCACGGTTCTAGACTCTTCACGGTTGCCCGGTATAGATGGTTCTGATTGTTTAGTCACATTAATGTGTTATTCCAAGACAACATCTGCAAAAAGTAATGACAAAAGCTCATCTTGAACACACTGTAAAACCCAATAAGTTAAGGTAACTCAAACCATTTGAGGAAACCGTTTGCAACAAACCATTTAAGTTCAAAAACTAATCCTAATGAGTACTGTGAACTCAATCCATTTGAGTACATGCAGCAATTTTAGCACAGTAAAATCCAATAAATGAAGAGAACTCAAACCAACTGAGCACTTTAAAACTCAACTTTAAAAGTAAGTTAAGTAAGCTCAAACCGTTTGAGGAAACCAATTGCTACAACTATTTGAGTTCAAAAACGAATCTATATACTGTAAACTTACTCCATTTAAGTTGAAGTAGAGTTAGTCAAGTGATTAAGTAAGTGTTAATTGAGCATTAATGATGCCTGCTGCTAGCAAGTAGAATTACTGAAGAGAAACACAAAACTACAGTTGACTTCAGTCACAGCCTTTAAAGAAATAAAACACATTCAATCTCACAACATTTTAGCAGAAAATCATTAAAAAACTCCACAAACAGTGTTTTTTTTACGGTTTTACAGTGCATGAGTGAATAAGTTCACATCCATATGTATAGGCTTGTCTGTCACATCAATGTTTTGGCTGTTTGGCACCATCATTTGAATGAATAAAATATACTTTTTTTAAAACAGATTTGTTTGTAAGCTTTTCGTTCAAAAATTAATCAACTATTACATTGTAATAACACAACAATGTGTCTGAATTTGACCTTTTTGTGTCAAGTATAGTCTGGCCTTAATCTGTGATTAAAAGCATGCTATTGTATTTCCAACAGGTGTTGAGTCTCTGCAGTTGTGAAAGCTGATTATAGTTTTGAACTATGGATGCCAGTTATTAATTGACAATTAATTATTTGTTGGTAAGCCTTCTAATTGACACACCTTAAAGACGGAGTACAATAGTTTTTAACAAAGATTTAGAAAAGCTTTCTGATAACATTCAAGATATTTATGTCTTCAAAACTGAAATGGACAAAGCTACGCACTAGCTCTGGGGACTTCAAGCATAACTTAATGTCATAAAGTAATGGACACGCATCGCAGAGCTAGTGCAAGATTAGAATCTGCGTTTAAAAAATATGTCTGTTTTATTTTATTTTACAAATGACCACTTGTTTCACTAGACCTGACCCTTATTCATGCACTTGTTTGAAGCCCTTCTAAGCTGCACTGAAAATACAATTTGGACTTTCAACTCTTCATCTGTTTGCAAACATGGATGCACACACCGTCTATTAGTCATTGCATTTAATCATTAAAGAGTTCTATTAAATGATCAATTATGTATTGTTTTTCTTAATCCAACCAGCCTTACAATTAACAGGCAACAGTGCTTGAGTTTTGATCGACAATAACAATGTGAAGTAATCACATCTAGCATTACTAAGGTTAACGAATAATCAGTTAATGGACCTAAACGGCAATCGATCATAGTATTTTGTAGTAATGGGCATCCTATATTTTTAAACTCACACTGCTTTCAACACTACTTATTTTGCAGTTTATGCATTTTAAATGATTATATTAGCTAAAATTAACATTGTAACATTGTTTACTCATCTTTGTACTTTTTTTCATCTTTAGAACATGAAACAAGACTTCCAAACCTGAGATTTCTCTGCTCACGTAAAAAGTTTTGAGTTTCTAATTGGTGAAAAAACAATTTAAGAGTAATCGATGTGGTTTAATTCTGATTTTATCCTGTGAAGCATTGTGTATGTTTAAAGAAAGAAAAAAGAGAAAAGTAAAAAGTAAACTGGTATATATAAACAGAAAACATATATATATATATATATATATATATATATATATATATATATATATATATATATATATATATATATATATATATCCTGTAAAAATAAACATGTATATATCAATCAACCAAAATAAATGCAGAAAAATGTAAGAGAAGCAAAAGGCTAAAAACTATTGCATGCTACAAAGAGATTAATTCCACCCTTTTAAAGATTATAAAGGAGAGATTTTGCTCTGGATTAGAATAACTTCATGGACCAACATGTGTAGTCTGCTTAGGTCAGGGGTGCCCAAACTTTTTCATATGAAGGGCCAAAAACCAAATATCATTGAGAGCCATGGGCCGAGGGTAAATATACAAAACTATATTACATTAAAGTTGTCATAAGTAATTTCATAATTTATTGAATATTATTTCTAAATAAATAGAAAAAAATAATTTATATTGTATTAACTAATGCAGCATAACTTTTTAGAAGCCAACTTTGCAATAAAAACATAAACAATCACATTTATAACACAGTGGAGTTTAATGCTAAACACACACTAGTCAAGCAGAATCTGCCTTTGACTTAATTTCCTCACAAATGTTTCTGCATTGGCGGTTAACAGTGTGCACATTTAAACAAAATCTTATTTACACCATTTCATTGAAACATTTCATTTCAGTTCGCCTTTAAACAATAAAACAAACAAAGAGTTATCTTAAATTTTAATTGACAATCTAAAAAGGATTCCCATCATTCTCCCTCTCTTCTCAGATGGCATGGCTTACCATAAAATGGCATATCATTAAGGGTTACCATAGGCCAACTTTGTCCCACGGCCTAGTTTGGGCATTTCTAGTTTAGGTTTTAACCTCCCATTTCTCCAAACATTTTTATTACTACATATGTATATGTATTCTACTATTCAACCTGAATGGTAAATATAATAACTGGCCATCCCATAAGGAAAACAAATGGGTTTATTATAGTAATAGTTCATTGATCCTACTAGAAAACCCATGCTTAATTTCTGATTACTTGGGCTTTAAACATTTTTATAGTTGTAAAACTATTGATAACTGTGAGGTTCAGGGTTCTATACTATTTCAATATATTTTCTCATTCAATCATCTGACATTCATCTGTTATTTATGAAAATAATTGTCCATACTATCATTTCTCTTGCAAACACTGATATTTCTTCCAAAATATGTTAATCTACTTCATAAAGCATTTTGAAAGCGTTGACACTCCATTAATTTAACTGCGTATTTCATTGCTGAAGCTTAAGACCTAACCTCGAGGCACAGTTTCTATTGCTCTATATTTCAGTGTGCTTTTAGAAAACACTGCAAAGTCACAGGATCTCAAAGGAAGTCTGGCAAAAAAAGATAAAGAAAAGCCTTAGCTTCAAACGTCTGAGATCTGTCGTCCTGATATTACATGCAAACCATGTTTTTTTCTTCTTCTTTTTTTGTGGCAGTAAGCCTTCATGAATCATGTCAATGTTTATTGTGATGTTCAATATCCGCGACCATTTCGACGATGCAACTATGCAAACACTGTAAATGTGGTTCTGACTGAAACGAATACAGCCATTTGCTATTGAGCGCCAGGGTGCAACGACACACTGTAATAGAATAAGCCATCTCGAGCATTCTTACAGTTATCGACTACAAGATATTCACAAATATTTAATTCATTTTATAATGTCGTTTCAGTCGTGCAGTTTTGATGCGACAAGACTTACAGGCCCTTTTGCGCAGTACCGTACGAACTGGCGACCGCTAGTTGTCCTCGATCACAGTTATTTCGTCATTTTTTTTCTCATTCTCGTTGCTTATCGTCACAAACTCAACATCCTCGCATCCACTCCGCCCACCACTGACTACAGCTGCAATGCGCACGCGTATCATCAACTGCACCCACCAGAGGGAGACAAACCTATGGGTTTCTTTCCACGTGTTTGTTCTTTGTTTGTTTATATTTAACTACAGTAAATACACGCTAGAGGGAGGCACATAAAAAGGAATTTCCTTTGTTCGAGATGTTTTCTAGTCTTTCAGATGCCATGGACCCCATGAATCATCATCATGAAACGCACATTCTAAAATGAAAGTGTATTTATATAGTTTATTGTGTAGAGAACAAAATCTTTGTATTTAAACTTGCACTGTATAATTTTATATTTATTTATGTATTTATTTGTTTGTTTGTTGCCTATTGTTTACATGTTAATTTTTCATCAATATAATATTAGTATTGCTTATTATCATCATAATCATTATTTTCTCCCCAGAATAGATTGTTTTTATTGATTGATTCATGTTTATTAATTTTATAATAGGCCTACTTATAAGTTATGTACATGAGGATATGTATTTGAGAATTGTTTTATTGGATAATGAACATGTATATATTATAAATTATAAACATAACGTTTTAGTCTTGTTTTATCAATCAATTTAATTATTTATTCATTTTTAGAACATATATATGGAGGATGAAACCTGCAAAAACAATAAATAAAAAATACTCAAATAAATAAATCCACAAATCCTTAATTAATAAATAAATAAATACACAAATAATTAAATATATATACAAAAAATATGTGCATAAATAATTACATAAACAAATAATAGTGCGAGCAGATTAATAATTACCTAAACTACAAGGATGTTGGGGGAATAGTATTTATTTATGCTGCAATTAGTGTTTTATATATATTTGCATATTTATTTATTAATTGTTTTATTTATGCAAAAATTTGTAGATTTATCTAATTGTTTATTTATTTATGCATTTATTTATTAATTTTTAAGCAATAAATAAATAAATACACAAATATATTAATGAATAAGTAAATAAATTATATTAATAAATAAGTTTGCTCCAGGTGCTCCAGTTTCCCCCAAAGTCCAAAGACATACAGTACAGGTGCATTGGGAAAGGCTAAATTGTCCGTAGAGTATGTGTGTGAATGAGAGTGTAAGGATGTTTACCAGAGATGGATTGCAGCTGGAAGGGCATCCGCTGCGTAAAACATATGCTGGATTAGTTGGCGGTTCATTCCACTGTGGCGACCGCAGATTAATTAAGGGACTAAGCTGAAAAGAAAATGAATGAAAGAATGAATTCTCGTTGTAAACAAACCAAAGAAGACTTTTAGCTAAATAAACTACAAACTTGAAGTATACATGGGCAATGTGCATTTACCGCCAGGGGATGGAGATGTTTAGCTTTCATTGCACCATCACTGTTCCAAAAAAAAAATGATAATGATCTCTGAATAAAAAAAAATGTAAATAATTTTGCTGTCAATTGACTTGAGATCCCAAAAGATCTCATCGTTTTATGTATAACAATCTCGAAAGTAGAGCATGCGTGTAGTTTACATATAATAGTTTTCGCTTTTAGAGCTTTTCCTCAGTCACAGTGTGTCATCAAATTCATTGTGTGTGTCATGCGAAGTCGAATTACTCCCCCACTGGTTTTCCCTCTGTCACACACACTCACACACACTAATCTTTCTCTCGTTTCTCACCCTCCCACTTAAACATTCAGCGATAAAAATTCTGTTCCTAGTGCATTAAAAAATAACATGTAAAAAAAAACAAAGAATGTTGCCTACTGTATAGCTTAACATCTTTCACTTTTACACTTCAGAGGTTGCCTTATAATCTGACAAGATATTTTAGGTTTTCAATATTTAAAAATCTGAATTTTCAATAATGATCCTCTTCAAGTTCATCCTATTATACGCCACAAAGTTCATCCTATCTTCATAGATGCACTAGAGACACTAGAGAAAGATTACAGGAAAGAGTGCTGGATGTGTGTGATCAAACCATCACAGCTACATGTTTAACACTTCGAAAATTTGCATGTTTGAGCTCCACTGCATAATAATTCCATGCAGATAATTCCCAGAAGTACAGCCAATGTTATTTTAATACTTCACCTTTTACTAAAACGAAAATTGGCTGCTGTTTTACTCGCCCTCAGGCCACCGAAGGTGATTATTTTCATTAGAGGAACAAGAACCGTTTTAGCTCAAACTGTGGTCCTTGGTGATTCATCGAAAGTAAGGAAAAGGGATAGTTCAACCTTAAATTAAAAATTGCCCTTCTGAAAAAAAAAAAAAAAAAAACAGATTAAACCAGCCTAGACTGGTGGGCTGGTTTTAGTTGGTTGACCAGCCTGGTTTAAGAGGGGTTTTTGAACATTTCCAGGCTGGTTTCCAGTCATTTCCAGTCTAATCTAAGCTGTTTAGGCTGGGAGATGATCAAGCCAAGCCAGGGTGGTAGCCCAGCCAAAACCAGCTATGTCCAGCTAAACCAGGTTGGTCATTTTCCAGCCTGACCAGCTAAGACCAGGATGGAAATGGCTAAAACCCGCCTGGAAATGGCCAAAACCCCTCTGAAATCAGGCTGGTCGACAAGCTGAAACAAGCCAAGCAGCTTTAAGCTAGTTTAAGCTGTTTTTTCAGCAGGGTGTTATCTTCTTAAGAAAAGCAATTTATCAAATTCATTTTAAGACTGTTGGAAACCTGTAATAACTGACATCCAGGAAAAGCAAATACTAAGGAGGCCAATGGTTACTGATTTTTGAATTTCTTCTAAATTTCTTCATTTGTGTTTAACAAAAAAAAAAAAAAAAAAAACCAAGACTAGTATGAGTAAATGATGACAGATTTTTAATTTTTGGATGCACTATCGCTTTAATGGCTAATGGCACAGGTAAAATTTCAATATAGGCTCATTCTGAAAACTTAGCCCTATATACATTTCTGGAGATCGGAAATTATGTAGTCAGAAGTACGTATGGCAGCATTTCGGCTTTAAAATGAATGCTACTGGTGGTATGGCCCCTTCCTTTGTGCGCTTACCATCTAACCGCTTACCTCTGTATGGATGACTTTCCTGCTGGTCAGTTAGTCAGTCAGTCGACAGGGGCTTCTGGTGGATTTACGTGAGAACAGCAGATCTGAATGGCACTAGCAAGAGAAATTTGAGATCTCAAAAAGCAAAAGTGGCCTCTGGCGGATTCGTGAAAACAAAAACTAGAATGTATTTGGCACTCTCCAGAAATATATTGGAGTATGTAATCAGATAAGCCTGGGTTGGAAAGTTTTTACAAATGCACATAAAATCCTATTAATTAATCAAACGGCATTAGTTCATGTGGGATTTTGCAAGTGACTGTCATGTTTACCAAGGTTGCTCATTAAAGGTTATAATATGTTTTGTTGTGTTTTTTGGTTGTTTGTATGTTTGTTTGTTTCAGACCAATTGTTTCACATTATATCTCAATGTATCATAAACATGTAATATTTTGGCTGTATATTTCTTGACTTTTAAAACTCCTATAGATGTTGACTTACAGTTTATAATAACCACAGTTTTAGCTGAGAATCATTTAATTCTCTACTGAAAAACAGTCACCTACATCTCGGATTGCTCGAGGGTCAGCAAATGAAGAGCACATTTTCAATTTTGGTGAACTAATAGCCAAAAAAAAGACTGTGTTATTTTTATAGACATCCACTACAGGAGAGTAGACTGTTTGCATTATTGATGGTGATAATCTATCTTACAATTCTGTTTACACCATTGCATCTCTAATGGTAAAACTGTTATGAAAGAGGTGTCGGATGATTCTGCATAAGGAAGGAAATTATTGACAGAACCCTGCGGCACTGAATTCATGATCAGCATGTGAAGGTGGAGAGCTTTTTTTTCCGGTTACTGCATCATATACGCTAAAGGGGGTCAGGAGAGTGCATTACAGCTGAAAACGCTGAAAAAATTGGTTGAATATTTCATGAAATGTGCTTTTAAAAATAGAGACAAAGATGTGAGGCCAGACCACTAAGACTCCATCAGCAGTCTCTCTGCTCTGTCGGATTAGTGTATGTGAAACTAAATGTAGTCCTAAAAGATAAACTAGTCCTACAAACAACTTTATTTAAAGAGCATCTATGATGAAAATCATCTTTTGTAAGCTGTTTGGACTGGACTGTGTGAAGGTATAATGTGTCCACAGTCATATTGGAGTGATAGAAACACAAAAAGTCTTTATTTTAAAATTTACTGACGTTTAAATAGGATCCAAATCCCTTCCATTTTGAGGTCCATCGCCACATGATGTAGAAGTGTGGTTTTCCCCGCCCACTGAATTGATTGACATGTACCATGACTCCATAATAACATGTATATGTCCACAGAACTTTTCTTTTTTTTTTTTTTTGCAACATAAGCTGGGAATAAAACATGTTAAAAAACCTTTATGATCAGCTGCACCTCAATAATTTATTGTATAAGTTTAAAATGTGTGTACTGCAAACAGCATTTGTGTGTGACTCTTAGTTTCATAAAGGCTTGAAAAAACTTCACCACAAATACATCAAATAAACTTACTTGGTATTTTTGATTAGTGACCTTATTTCAGCTTCATCCGTGTCTGTCTCTATTACTGACGGCTGTTTACATGTCGGAGCGGTGGGTGGGGAGAAGCAGCTCATTTAGATTTAAAGACACAGGTTTCAAAAACAACTACACTGAACTCAGACATCAAAATGAGCAGTTTTTGGAGGCTATAATAAATTAACCGATGGTTATTTTGAGCTGAAACCTTAGATACACATTCCGGAGACACCAAAGACTTATCTTACATCTTGTAAAAAAAAAAAAAAAAGAAAAAGTCAAATATGTGCCCTTTAAAATTAATATGTTCAATTCAGAAGCAATTCAGAATTGAATGACAAATAAAAAGGTGAAAGTGCTGAACTAGTTTAATGTATTTAATATTTTGTATAAACTGCTTTCTTGATAATGACAGCAATTCAAGAATCCTCTTGTATAGAGAATTGAGACACATGTGTGATTTATAGAGTCTTAAAATCTTGATTATTC